TTCAAATGAACTCATCAGCATTCTCCCTACAGCTCGCACGTCTCCACAGTTTTTTTATTCATATTGGTACTGACGTCAACGCCGGTTCGTGGGGCGCAACGCTGCAGGAACTACGAAGACGACGAAACCGTCAGTGACACCGCCTCACTCAGGCAGGGTGAAGCGGACGAGATATTCGACAATGTCAAGAACATCTTTCCAGAGCTTCTTGAAATAGAAGAGGCTTCCTCCGCGCGCACTAACCTCAGAGTTGCCGCCGGAAGTCTCGGGGAAGCAGCTTTGGCGCCAGAGCTATGCGGCGTGGAGAAGATGGCACGTCAATTTGCTTTTCGAGATATCGGTAGGTGCATTTATCAGCAGTCCCGTCGTTTTTCTCTCTCTATCTCTCCACAGTCTTTATCAGCGCATTGTAACCCCGCCGCTATGCTACATATCTTCGTCCCAAAAGCCATCCTCCCAAACACCCATTCAGGAACGAATATACCTCATGAAAGCAACTCCGACAGCGCAGCAACACAGCCCGATGCGACTGAAGCGTCTCATGCTGGAGAGACTCCATCAGCATTCACGTTGTCCTCGGAAACCGCCTCGGTAGTAGATGATCCGATAGAGGAGTGTGCTGAAAGGGCATCCACAGTGGATGAGGTGGTTGGAGGGCGCAGGGTAATAGGTTCAAACTCAGTTCGTGGTGATTCGTGTTTTAAACAAAGCGTGAAACGAAGCAGGGTGGGGTTTATTCGTAGTGAGCGCGTCAGCAGTTACTTCCGCGATTGCAGTTGGGGCTGCTCCACTAGCCCACCGTGGATACGGTGCTGACACGGACATTGACACAAAGATTGACACGAACGTTGACACGGGCACTGACGGCATTCACGGATTCCCTGCCTGGGTCATCAATGGACGTGCGAGAAGGCCAATGACGTGGGCTAGGAAGCGCCGTGCTATGCGCCAGCAGTGGACGCCAAGAGCATGCGGAACTAGAAGTAGCAGCAGCATTGGCACCAGCAGTGCTGGGGCGCTGGCTTCAGTGGCTGCTGTTTTGCCAGACGGAAACAACGATAGTAAAGCGATGGCTGATTTTCCTGTGTGGGCCAGGAAGGGCCGTGCCCGGCGCCGGATACGGCAGGGAGGGAGAATAACAGCGAATGGCGCGCACACAGTGTGTGAGTGTGAAGAGGGGAGTGGAGTGGATGAGGAGGGGAGCTGGTTGCACGAAGAAGGATCTGGGCAGAGCGAGTTAGGTTTAGAGGGATGCAGCCTGGACATTGCACCTGCATGGGACACTGAAGACAACAATAACATTAGAGGTCATAAACGAGGCCGCAGAACTCAGGGAAGGGATTGGGAAGTTTTTGTAGTGACTAGGTCGGGAAGACTAGTGCGTACTCCTAGGAGATTGACCTGATTCTTTGGAACTCAAAATAGAATGCTTGTGAAACGTGGTTGGACAATGTATAGAAGGATCTTCTAATTTCCAATATTACAGGCCAAAATGAACACCTAAGAAGGTGTTGTCGGGCGTTCTCTATAGAAGTCTGAACAAAAAGTGCCAACCGTTTTGCACGAAGTGCACAATCTATTCTGGCATCCTAGTTCCTATGATACCAAATTGTATAATTTCCGCTATAAACATTTCCTGGATCGTTGTACACTTTCACCAAGTCACGTGGATGGATTAGCCTTGAGAAGCTGTCACAGGAGTGGAAGAAGGCTGAACACCCCAATCTCCGTCCACCACGTGGCAAATCGACACGCTGGCCGTTCATCACTGAGATGGAATGTGCGATCCGTCGCTCGCTTCCTCACCATGACCACCAATCCCCCAAGCCTCCGCGTTGACCGCCAATGTAAGCAAAATTCATCGCATACTGGACTCCCGCACCGCGGTATTCGTCCCGAACGCATCTGGCCCGCCTCTCTGAAGTTGACAGATGGTTTGGGTGTCAACTGCACTCCAAACGCCCTCCAAATTTCGAGTGTGAATTGTACAAATCGTGCAGACAGAACTACATTTGTAGAACCAACCTGAGTAATTTGGTTTCCCGCAGACAGTCACTTCGCATACCAAAGCAGAGGGCTTTGTCGTAAGTCGCGCACAATGGCGACTGTAAGCTTTGCCTCGCGGGGCACCAAGCTGCTCACCCCCTCCCAATCCAGCGCCAACTCGCGCGCCGCTGGTCCGCAGCAGTGGGAAGATGGCTCGCTCCGCAGCGTCTCGCTGCGAAGGGTCCCGCGCGCGCATGCCCACGCGGCGAGGCGCGCGCAAGCGGCGGAGCACAAGGGGCGGAAGCCGTTGGTGGTGAAGGCGCTGGTGGATGTCAGCTCCATCGACGCCGTAAAATTCGACTCGCTGGTTCGGCGCCGCGTCGTCTTCGGCCATGACGAGTGGAAGGTCCGTGGCGCGGCCGATCCGGTTTCCAAGTTCCTCAAAAGCAGTATTTTTGTCCGCGTTTTAAGGCTGGTTCGTGTCAGTCCTCGCTTACCCGGTAAAATGTCCCCTCGCACATGCTCCCCTACTTTCCTCCTTCCACTCCACTCACTCTCCCCCACTCCCCCTCCGCGTTGCTCTTTTTCCGCGCGACATTGCGCAGAAGCACAAGTCGAGCGGGCGCTACTTCCGCCACATCAAAACCATCCTCACCTCCAAGGTCATCGGCGCGCTCGGCCTGCCCGTCGGCGTTATGACCGGCATCGCAACCGCAATTTGCGGGTGGAACGAGCTCGCAGGCATGGGCGCGCTCCCAGAATGGGCTCATATTCTCCACATCTCCAACCTCCCGTTCACCCTCACGGCGCCAGCGCTCTCCTTCCTCCTGGTTTTCCGGACCAACTCCAGCTACGGGCGCTTCGACGAGGCGCGCAAGATGTGGGGGCTCATGCTGAATCGCTCGCGTGACATCACGCGACAGGCACTGTCGTATATGGCGCGTGACGACCACACGTACGAGTACCCGAAGCTTGCGCAGTTCATTCGGCACCTGCAGGCGTTCCCGCTCGCGTACAAGCACCACTTCCTGCAGGAAGGCTCGCTCGATGAAGATCTCCGGGTAAGTGTTTCATCTTAGTAGGCACGTCAATACGATTGGATGTGGGGTAAAGAAATAGATCCGCTTGGAATCACATCTTCCCACCCTTCCCAATCCATTGTTTTTATTCGCGCACCAACTTGCTCCTCGTTTCGAATTTCCCCCCCTCAGCAATTCACGACTCTGAGCGACGCGGAGATCAAGGGCGTGCTGGGCGCGACGCATCGCCCCAACTACGTGCTGCAGATGATGTCGGAGTGCATGCGCTCCTGCACCATGGAGCCCGCGCACCGCCTCGCTATGGTACGTTTCGATACACGCTCTGGTTCATGTATTATCACGTGTATAGCACAAACCTACTAGGGTAATAGATTTCCAGTATTTTTGTTTGACATTGCCGAATGTCCTTTTCTCAATTTCTGCTCTTTCAGGAGGCCAACTTCGCCACGTTCGCTGATGACGTGGGAGGCAGCGAGAGGCTGTTCAAAACGCCCATCCCGCTTTCCTACACGCGCCTCACCTCGAGATTCCTCGTCCTCTACCACATGTTCCTGCCTCTCGCGCTCTGGGACCCCCTCGGCTGGCTCACCATCCCCGTCACCGCCATGTGCGCGGGGGTCTTTTTCTGCATCGAGGAGGTCGGCGTGATCATCGAGAATCCGTTCCCCATTCTCGCCCTCGATGTTATCGCGCAATCCGCGCGCAACAACGCCGCGGTACGAAACAGCGCCCCCCCCCCCCCCTCCCCCCCCCAACCCCCTTCTCCCCCGGACCTCCGAATTTTCCTTGTGTCCCCTTGCCCCTTCCCACCCGTGTATCCTTTCTTCGCATATACCCGTCCCTGCTGGTATCTCCCCTTCCTCCACGTCTCCTGAATATGTTGAAGTCTTATCTTCACTCTCTCGCCATGGTTGCGCCAGGAGTTGGTGTCGCTGCACGAGGGCATTCGCGAGTTGGTAGTGGGCGACGATGAGGAGATGAAGATGCTGTCGATCGTTTCACAGCAGGCGCTGCTGCCGGCCGAGCCTGCATTTGTCGCCGAGCCTGAACCGGAATACTCGTCGGATTGGGATGAGGATGTCGCGGCTCTCGTCTCTCCCCCGAACTCTCGTTAGGCTCAACCCCAGTTGGGAGTACGTCCTGTGCGAGTGTAGTTTATCACACCGAACACCTTTGGATAATGTTATGCACTCTATATTATTACTACATTTTTACTGTCTCATTATTATGTAAAATGCCATTCAATAGCTATCTGGCAAAACTTTAGATCAAACCTACTGAACTGATATCCACAAATCTTTCTATAATTCCTGAACCTAAGTGAAGATAAGTATCGACATGAGATCGTGTTATCATAGCACACCACAAAACTGTTGCACATATTATTCCTAATCATATTTGTTTCCTGTCCAAATCTCCACAAGGACCGTCTTGCGCACTTGGTTTGGTTCTTTGGCTCGAACCTGGCTTTTAATAGTGATCCCACAGAAATGTTCCTTCAAAAGCACTCCACACAACAGCCTGACAGTCAAAAGCTCCAAGCTACACACTGCAACCCAGATCTGGCCAGACCGAAACAAAATCTCCAAGAGCAGAGACAGCATCCCAGTTTCCTGCTTAGGCAACGAGGGTGCTGGCAGTGCCGGACTCGCTGCGAGGACAAGTAGAGAGAAAAGATGGGATGGGAAGGATGAGATATCAGTAGGAAGGGTCATGCATGCAGCATGGCTCTCGGAACCCTTGCACGGTACCCATTGCTTCTAGGTTCACGGGTCAGCTTATGGCGCCAAGTGCAAGCAGCAATGACGGTTTGAGCCCTTAGAGCCGAATTCACACAAAGAAGACATCAACAAAGCACTACAGGAGAGAGAGGGAGAGAGAGTGAGAGAGAGAGAGAGAGTGAGAGAGTGAGAGAGAATGGGGGAGGAGAGGGGGGGGGAAAAAGGTAAGGAAGCAGCAGCAAAATGCACTCACTACTTCCAGTTGGGCGGCAGCTTCTTGGTCCACTTGTAGTAGCGCGCGAGGCGGTGCACGCGGCTCTCGATGAGAATGAGGCGGAACTTGGAGTCCTTGTCCTTGCGGTTGCGCTCCAAGTGCTTGCGCACCGCCAGCGCCTTCTTGATCAAATGGTACAGATCCTCGGGGATCTCCGGTGCAAGACCTATTGGTGAAGGGGGAAGGGGGGGGTGGGGGGGGGGGGGGGGGCGGCAGGGTGGGGAGGGGGGGAAGGGTCGGAGGAAGGGGTGAACATTACAAACCGCCAGCGCCTAGGAGATCGGATGGTACAGATCCTCGGGGATTTCGGGCGCCAGGCCTCAGACCCGAAAACATTGACAAGAAAGATGCATCAACCTGTACCTAACTCATAACCCTGAATCAACATTTCTGCTTGAGAATCTGAACGAAGACGAGCGCCCGAGAGCAACGGAGGAATGGAGGGGCACATACCGATAACGCCCTCTGACCGCTCACTGCTCCGGCCGTGCGGCCCGCAGTGAAGCTTACAGAAAGGGACGTTGGAATATTCGAGGGGGGTTTACCCCAGCAGAGAAGAGTTTCAGGTCAGGTACCGTGAGCCTTGAGAATGCGCAGGACCTTGCTGCCAGTGACGCCCGACACCTGCGCGATACCGTGCGAGTCCCTCAGAATGACGCCGATCTGCGACGGCGTCAGACCCTTCTTCGCGAGCTTGCAGATGTGCTCGTCGACCTGCCATCAATCAGTGGACAAAAAGTGCAGAATGAATGAGCTGGACGTAAAGCGTGGCTCGAAGAATCAATTCTTTCGTCGCGAATTTGCGGATGTGCTAGGTCGTATGAGCGTGCCGGCCGACTTTGTTTGTTTTCCATGCCGACGCGAAGCCTTAACGAAAGTAAAGCGTCGGGCACTGTGTCTTTCCGAAAGGGGTATTGTATGCACATTGCCAAAAAGGTAAGAATCTAGACACAGAAGCTCGTCCTTAGAGCTCACGCAGGTACGCTGATTCGGGGTTTCTGGGATGATTTCCGATGGGTGGTCAAAAAGTAAGGATCTACGTTAAGTGAGAGAACGAACGTGCCTCGGGGGCGGAGATCTTCAACCAGCTCGGAGGAGTGCGCTTGTAGGGCAGGGCGGAGCGCGAAATACCCTTTCTGCATCAACCAAGTAAGGCGCGACAGAAAAAAAAATCGCGAACTACGCGCGTCAGCGTTCCCTCCGACAAAGCAAGGAACAGCAGCGCGAGGAAAATCAACTGACCCGTGACTGTGCATACGACCCATGGCGGCGGCTGTTTAGGGGACTGCCCACAAGGCGAGGAAGACGTGAGAGATGGAACTACGGGAAAGGGAAAAGCCCGTAGCTGTTGGAGCCAAAATAGGGGTTGCAGGTTCTGAAGGACAGCCACAGAAGGACTGCTACGGGGGGCAGGAAGGGTTTGAGAACGAGAGGAAGAGAAGGGGAATCGGACATGAAAAGCCTGATCCAACGGACACCGTTTCTGCCTGTGGGGGGGAGAGGGTTTATATGACAAGTAAATTCATTTGTCACGATACCGTGTACCGTTTACAGTTTTAGGGTCGGGAAAATATGCCGTTCGTAACCATCATGGGACTCTAAAACATTTTTGGTAAAAAAATAAAGGGTACGGTCACTCCAAAGGGTGTTTTCACGCGACTGATAAAGCGTTTCACGGAATCAGTCACAATCAGCTGGTAAAAAAAAACGCGAATGGTCACAGATGAAACTCCCGCCAAAACAAAATGAAACCCAGAAAGAACCTGGATGCATTTTCGGATGATCAACCCTAAACACGTAACTCGCCAGGTGTTTAGGGTTGATCCGTTCCCAAACCGCATCCGATTCCGATTGGGTTTTAGTTTTTTTACAAGTTCGCAGATTGGTTGGGCGCGAGCGGGAATTTTGTTGAGTTTCAAGTTTTTTTGGCGGGAGTTACATGTGTGACCATTCGCGTGATTTTTTACCTGTTGTTAGTGACTGAATCCGTGACCCCGCTTACCAAACCCGTCAGAAAACCCGATACAGTGACCTGAGAAGAAACGAGGAATGGGAAATGACTAAGGGAAAGTTGGGTACAAAATGCAAACCCTAGAAAACTGTACCCCATATGTGCTACCCCACTATAGCCTACAGTGGCTCTGTCATATAAATCTGACACACCCCCATAGGCAAAGTGGGGGAGAACAAGGGGTCACAAGACCAGTCAAGCAAAGCAAAGCAAGCTCAGGGTGGATCACAAAGTCACCACACATTCCGAGCACAGGTTCAAGGCCACAAGGCCAGTTCACATGCAGGATTACATATATATATAAGGCTAGACAAGCAAGAGCAGGTGTATATATATATGCAACAGTACAAACAAGGTCAAGGGGTGAGCAAGTGAGGCAAGGTAGGCACAAGGCCCAGCTGAGTACGGAAACGCTGATGATCACAAGGCGCAAGTGCCTTGGTGAAGATATCAGCAGTGTTGGCCTGAGAGGCCACGTACGCAAGCCGCAGCTGACCACGCTGCTGTAGCTCACGAGCAAGGAAGTAGCGGAGAGCAATATGCTTCGTTCTGTGCTCCAGTCTCTGCTCTCGACACAAGGCCAGCATGGCCTTGTTGTCTACGTACAGCACTGGAGGAGAACGAGGCGGCTCTCCGAGGTCAGTCAGCAGGTAGGTGAGCCAGCGAAGCTCCTGTGCAGCCATGGCCCCGGCGTAGATCTCAGCCTCACAACTGGAGCCGAGAACAGAAGACGAGCGGGTAGCCCGCCACGAAACAGAGCCGGAACCAAGGCTGAAGGTGTAACCCTGTGACGACCGCTGCGTAGCCTGGTCGTCAGCCCAAGAAGCGTCTGCGTGCCCAGTGAGGACCACTGGACTCTGCCCTCCAAGCACAAGCCCCATGCTCGACGTACTGCACAAGTAACGCAACACCCTCTTCGCTGCAGCCATGTGCTCCGGTCTGTGTCTCCCAGGAGCAACATAGCGTGCGAGAATGCTAAGAGGGTATGCGAGGTCAGGTCGTGTGCAGGTCATCAGGTACATGAGGCAGCCAACAAGCTCTGGGTACGGGCCACTCGACTCTACGGACTCATCCGAAGGCAGAGCTGAGAGCGAGTGGCGAGTAGGCAGAGGAGTGGCCTGAGGCGAGGAGTACGTGAAGCCGAAGCGCTGAAGGACTTGCTGCACCATGTGTGACTGAGTCAGGGTAATGGTGCGGCGTGCTCTGTCCCGGGTGATCTGCAAGCCAAGGTAGCTGCGCAGTTCACCCAGGTCTGTGCACGTGTGTCTCTTCTGCAGCTCGGACTTCACGTGGGCGAGTCCAGCAGTGTCAGCTGTGGCAAAGACCAAGTCGTCGACGTACACGAGGATGTAGAACGGCGGCAAAGAAGTGTCGGTGCGCAGAAACAGCGACGGGTCGGCAGTAGAGGGAGCAAACCCAAGAGCCGCAAGTGTAGTCCTCAGTGTGTCGTGCCACTCACGCGGTGCCTGGCGGAGACCGTAGACTGGCCGCCGGAGGCTCCACTGGGTGCCAGGAGGAAAAGACCCAGTGAAGCCAGGTGGGCGACGCAGCCAGATCTCCTCGTGCAGGCTGCCCTGCAAGAAAGCAGTGCTGAAGTCAAGAGAGTGCAGCTCGTAGTCGCGGTGAGCAGCTATGTGCAGCAGTACCCGAAGAGTGGTCATCTTCGGGGTGGGAGAGAAGGTCTGAAAGTAGTCAACTCCCTGCCGCTGACTGAAGCCACGAGCCACGTAACGCGCCTTGAAGACAGGCGGAGAACCCGGCGGCCGCTTCACCCTGAAAATCCACATGCCACTGACGATGTTCGCCCCAGGCGGGGGAACCTCGTCAACGTAGGTGCCTGTGGACTTCCAGGAAGCCATCTCTGTGTCCATAGCTGCCTGCCACTGAGAGGAGTAGGGACCCTCTATCGCCTCCGCGTAAGAGCGCGGAGTCGGGATGTCAAGTGCATCCGGGTCTCCCTCAGGGGTAAGCAGTACGGACACGAGATGAGGTGAAGCAGCAGCCAAACACTGGAACTCCTCCTGCCTGTCCTCAAGGACGTCCGTGCCAAGGGCACACTCACCCCCGACGGACGGAGGACAGACAGACTCAGACTCAGCGACAAGACAAGCAGCGTAGTCTAGACGACAGCGAGCAGCAAAGTCGACGAGCTCAGCAACTAGGGCAGACGCAGCAGTGGACGCAAAGGAAGGGTCAGTGACGACAGTAGCAAGGAGACGCGTGACAGTAGGACTGGCAGCACGAAGAGAGTCCGACTCCGGGTCGGGAAGAGCAGGAAGAGAGGACTCAGGAGGAGAAGGCAAAGGGGCACGCAGAGGAGCAGTGGACGGACGCAGAGACATCCGGTGCGTGCCAGGGACAGGAGGAGGACGCTGACGCGAACCACGACCACTAGCGCGAGCAGTACGGACAGGCGACGCAGGACGCGACGCAGGCTCACGACGCTCAGCAAGACCTCCAGTAGGACCAGTGTAGGGAGAAGGAGCGGGCAGTGGGGAGGCCGGCTGTAACTGTAACTGTGACAGGACAGGCTGTGGACACTCTAAGGGAGGAGGAGGACCAGTAGAAGGCGGGAGACCAAGAACCTGCTGAAGGAGCGGAACGAAGTACGGCCGAGGCCGCGCGGCGACTCCAGACACAGCAGGGACAGCACCAGTACCCCCAGCGGCAGCACCAGCGCCAGCAGCACCTCCAGCTCCAGTACCTCCAGCAGCACCAGTAGCACCCCCAGCAGAACCGCCTCCAGGACCGACAGCAGTAGCCTCAGCGTCAACACCCTCCGCAGCTCCAGCTCCAGTCGTACCCGTAGGCCCAGCAGCTCCAGTACTCCCAGTACGAGCACCTCCGGGACCCGCGGCACCAGCACCCTCAGTAGCCGAAGAACCTCTAGCACCAGCAGCACGCCTCCAGCGCTGGGCAAACCACTCGCGCAGCTCCTGTGGAGAGAGTGGCTCCCGCCGAGACGAAGCACCCGGAGAACCTCCAGGCTCAGCACCGCCAGACGCCACACAAGCAGGCCCAGCTCCCTCAGGCTCCGCACCCCCAGGCTCAGCACCTCCAGTAGTAGCACCCTCAGGCTCAGCACCCCCAGGCGTAGCACCCACACGCTCAGCACCCCCAGCGTCAGCACCCCCAGGCTCAGCACCCTCAGCAGCACCAGAGTCACCAGTAACCTCGACAGGCTCGACTGCGTCTACCTGGGACACACCTGAAGGGGCAGGACCCTGAGGGGGGAGGGGGTCTACCGGGGGGGGACCTGGCACAAGGAAGAGCGGTGGTGGGGGGAGGGACGGAGTGCGGTAGGGGAAGAGGCGGTAGTAGGGGACCGACTCGTCAAACGTGACGTCCTGGGAGGACAAAACACGGCGAGAGGTGGGGTGGTAGAACTGCCACCCTGGCGCGTCAGGGGGGAAGCCAAGGAAGACGCAAGGAGCAGCACGAGGGGACAGCTTGTCCGCAGACAAGTCGCGGACAAACGCCCGAGATCCCCAGACACGGAACGCAGACGCATCGCCAACCTTCCCCGTCCACAGCAAAGCTGGGGAGGTCTCCGGCCTGGAGACCCGAGGGTGAAGGTTGATCTGATGCGCCGCGTACCGAACCGCAAACGGCCACAGAAAATGGGGGGCAGCCGCATGCATCATGGACGTACGGGCGACGTCCATGACCATGCCAATGCGGCGCTCAGCAATCCCATTTTGCTGTGGAGAGTCCGGAAGCGTGAAGGTCTGGCGGATGCCTCGCGCACGACAGTAGGCTCGCAGAAGGCCAGAGGAGAACTCTCCACCTCTGTCAGAGTGCAGACGCAGAACAGGAAAGTCCGAGCCGAAGCTCTGCCTGAGCTGGAGACGAGCTGCGCGGATCCAGTCGATCAACACCTCAGTGACATCACCCTTGCTGCGCAAGGGGAAGACTGTGGTGTAACGCGAGTAGTCGTCAACCACCAGCAGGAAGTAGCGCTCGTGACCCTGTCCACGGACGCGGGCCGGGCCCCACACGTCCATGTGAAGCGTCTGCAGCGGGGCCTCTGTCGGAGGAAACTGGGAGGAGTGAGGGGCAGCCCGCTGCCGCCCCTCGACACAGGGGACGCAGGTAGGGCCAGGCCCCGGAGGAAGGGGAGGGAGG